GGCAACGAGTGAAGTGTCTTGCCCAAGGACACAACGACCGAGACCGTCCAAGCCGGGGCTCGAACCGGCAACCTTCCGATTACAAGGCGAACTCCTAACTCTTGAGCCACGATCGTCCCATGATGGTGTTACTAATGTAACACCATCATGTTACTAATGCACACACTAATTTACCATTAGTGTGTGCAGCAGGGAAGTTGTTTTATTTATTTATATATATAAATTTATTATAACCTACATTTATTTATATCCCAGTAAAAGTTTTAAAAAGTGTGATAACAGGAAAGTTTACTAAAACTATCAAATCTAGTAATCATGCTAAACGTTCTGCTCAGACTTAATCATTACACCTACATCGATCTCCCAGTGCAGTTTTTGTGTTGTTGTTGTTAATGCAAGAGGATGTTTAGGACTACAGTAATGAGTTAGTAGAGCTTTATGCACTATGTACCTCAGCACTCACCGACCCTGCTCTGTACTTTTGCGTGGTCAGACACTTCATGGCTGAGTTGTAGTTTATCATAAAGATCAGTATTATAGTGTCAGCTGTAGAGCTTTGTTCTCCTCGAAGGCTGTTCATAAAACCATATGATTGTCTAATTTACCAGTTGAAGGAGGCTCCTGCGAAGGGATCATCTGAGAGCACGGCAGTCCGACTGCTAGAAAACGTGAAGAGATAACAAATGATAAAAATGCTTCAAAGTACAGAAGTTCAAGGCCCTGAGGAGCATTTTTGGCAAAAGTATTACTCTTTATTCAATTGCAGACTTGGCTCAAATCCACTCTTGGTTGGAAAAGAGGAGCACAACAAACACAAACATCTTCTTCCTGTATTGCTATCACTCTTACCAACTGGACAGTCATATACTGAATATTTTAATTTTACTTAAATTATTTTTTTAATAACTATAGTAACTATATAAATAACTATAGCAGCAAATATACATCAAAATCCAATAATTTCAACTAAACCTCCAAAATAAGCAAATAAATAGTACAAGTAGTAATGTTAGCATTAACAGACTGAGTTAAAAATAGCTTATTTTAACACCTGACTTCTGCAAAATTTACTTTAGGTAAATCGTGCATAATTCCTACATTTCATGCAGAACCTTTTCAAAATATATATTTATAATTTGTCAAATTGAAACAAAACATCATCATTACAAACATGAAACATGAGCATTAGATCGAGCTATAGTAACAGTGGAGACCTGATGTCCACGTGAGACCCAGCAGAGAGATCAGAAGCAGCTGCTGAAGCATCTTATTTTTTAATGTTGTTTTCATTTATCTTCTGTATGGCTTTCTTTCCTGCCTGCTCTCTCAGCTTACAGTAAGCTGTCTTTCTCTGTTATTATCAGTTATACTTAGTCAGTTAATTATAGCTGTCATAAATCCTCATGCAGGGAAGGGACTATCCTATTTGTTCAAAGGACACAGCTTGAAGATGATATATGATATATGATGATATAATGACACTGATAAGCTCAAAGAAAGTAAGAAAGTAATGGGTTTGAATTTGCTTTTCTGTGTGGAGTATACCTGTGTGGCTTCCAAAGACATGCTTGTTAGGTTAACTAATGAATTTGTTGGCTGTAGGTGTGAGTGTGAATGGTTGCCTATCTCTATGTGTTGCACCTATGGCAGAGTGGCAGAAAGGAGAGGTCAGAGAATATGTCTGTGAAGGTTCTCAGTCATCCAGGTCATCGTAGTCTGAGGAGCTTGGAAAGAAAAGCATCTGGACTTCTTTAAGTTTCCTTGAAGATGTTTCCCCTCTCACCCAAAAAGCTTCTTCAGTTCTAAGAGCAATTGGTGGACAGTCCCAGATAGGGCTTAAATACTGGGACTCTCCACCATGGACTTGTCGGAGAAAAGAAGCAACTTCAGAAGTAATGCACAAAGTTTCGGAGCCTTTGTATCAGGCACTGAAATGAGAAAAGTAAACTGGCAGATTGCACTAAAGTACTAAATCTACTGAAAAACCCATGAATACGGGGAAGTATTGGAATAGTTCTCATAAAAGTCACAATAAAACCCCTCAAATCCCTGATTAGTGGCAAAACAAGAGAGTGGCAAAAATAGATAACAAGGAAAAAAGACAATGCATGGAGAAATGACTGCCTTCACATATGACACTAAGTGGAATGATTGACAATGAGTCCAATGTTCCTGATTGTTTTTCTGGCTGTTCAGAGCACATTGGTCTAACGTGACAGCAGATGCAACGAGTCCTCTCAGAGATTAAAGAGCTACACGTGTTATTCTGGAAAACTGGCTTGACTCACTATAACATAGGAAATGGGTTTTAGGGGGCTGACGAAAGTCTGACGAAGAGATATAAAGTGCCATGGAAGGAGAATGAGGCTACAGAATGAAAGCTGGTGCAGGTGGTGCAAGTATGCTGTGGTTCTATTTTGAATGGACACATTCCTGGGTAAATCCCATTGGTTAATCTTGGTTGTAAGATAAACTGACTGTTTACTGCAAGATTAGCACAATGGAAAATTTGACTAAAAATAAACCGGTCTGCAGTTTTTGCTCACAAGCACGCGATTCAACCTTCGTTGACATATTTACCTTTACTTTAAAATGAAGAAAACATATGAAAAGTACATCTTACAAAGGAGAAATTTACTACAAAGGACACTTTCTGTACAGTTTAAGGGTAGTTGTACTTCATGTATCAAAAAAAAAAATCAAAGAAGGTAATCTATCTAGCAATGAACTGGTGGATTTATGCTTCAATTGGCAGGAACGAAATATACCACAACATCCAGTCATGTGGGTCTGATAAAGGGTTTCTATTTTGGTATGACGTGTTGCTCCCTAGTGGTCAAAGGTAGGAGCTGCGTCAAGCTACTAAATAGTATGGAAAACGTTGGAGAGAACGAAACTTCAAAATAAAAGCCTTTATTTTAAGAAGATGCTGAAAAAAAAGTAGGTTTATGACTACTGTTCCAATTAAGATGTCTTTCAGGGCACTAACATTTATAATTAAATATTATTTACACAAATGTTTCAGTATTAAAAAAAATAAAGTTTCGATTCGGATTTATTTTTAAGCCCCTGAACGGAAGCTGTCATATCATTCTTGGCAGCTTGGGTAAAAAAACAGAAATCGCATCAAACGCTGTCCTCTGTGCTGAGTTTGACGGCAATAACAATAGAGGAAACGTGAAAATACTCGAATGTAAAGACGACCCGGCGACTAAAAACAAGGGAAACGTCCGTAGTTTTTTGAGTTTTCTTCAGCTAACGCAACGAGGTGAGAAATTTGGAGCACACGTAACGGTTTTCTTTGGCCTATTGAGGTTATCCTTATTTAGCTATTGTTTGGGTGACTTTGGCATTACGTTTGGCATCATATAGTTTTCCGAGAAGGTTTTTGGCATAAGTCCGCTTCAGCTGAATCATTTGTTTATTATAAAAACTATCCTTTTTGATAATTTACGATGTCGATGTTGAAACGTAGTTTGTATATGTTCCTAACCTTGTTATTGGCGAAGCTTTCGGCCTGATGATGCCTTTAAGGGGTCCCTTTAAAAACAGAAACCCCACTGTTTATTTTACAACAAGTACGGTACAAAATCATATTTATTTATTTATTTTAAAAGTAAGTGGTGAATATTTGTTTTTTGATTACTCTGTCTGGATACCCCCCCCCCCCCTCAAATAAAAACAAGCTGTTTGAGTTCCATTTTCTACCAATACACAAGCTAACAATCGAAAAGCACCTAAAGGAGCTAATCAACATATTTTCGAGTCTTTCAGATATTGTGTGGACTATCATAGTAGTGTGATACGATAAACTTTATGGAAAACCAGTTGTTTTTGTTGTTGTATGAAATATTCATGTTCAAACATGGCCTCAGATTTCATTTGGGGGGGAAAAGAAAGATGAAAATAGGTGGGTTGCTCTGTTTTTGTTTTTTTCTGTATGACGCGTATATTCCACAGCAATCATTATCTATGTCCAGTCATTGGACTGTGACATTTTACGATAAATCTGAGGTGGGTGAGCAAAAGGCCCACTGTGATTTCAGATGAAATGTATCTGGCAACTCCAACAAAAAGGAAGTTTTCTTGCACATAAAGATTTATTTTTATATTTAAACCCCTCTGATTTATCTCTTTGTGATGTTAGTATTTCAATTATTTTTTTATTTGAAAGGATAGTGTTCATTCAGACAGTAAAAATATTTTCTGTTATTTGTGGCCAATTTGAGACATGCCTTTTTTTCAGTTTCTTGCACATCATTAAACTCGAAAAGAAAATCAAAGAGTCTCACACTGTTCATCACTTTAAAACCCACTGTATGTGTGAGAGCAATCTAAGGAAAGGTGTGAGAGGCATACTCCAACAGGGCTGTTTTCTTCACTATGAAGGCCAAGCTTCAAAATGGGGCGTATCTTCTTGGACCACATCGGTGGGACTCGCCTCTTCTCTTGTGCCAACTGTGACACCATCCTGACCAACCGAGCTGAGCTCATCTCCACCCGCTTCACTGGAGCCACTGGCCGGGCTTTCCTCTTCAACAAGGTAAATCAGTTTCTGATGTGATGGACAACATTGATGTTATTTAGTTAAAATACTTTAACTTAAACAATAGAGTGATTGTTTAGTATATTTAATGCAGCTATGTAAATAATTACTTTCATATTAAGAAGTATTAGAAGAGTTAAAGTCTGTCAAAGTACATAGTGGTTAACTGAAATTAGGAAACTTTAAAGTCACCATATTTGTTTCCTTCCTTTTGGATTCCTTAAGCCCCTAAATGAGGGTGGCTGTGACTCAGGAGGTAGATGGTCATCCACCAGCCAGAAGGTTCAAACCCAGGTCGTCCAGTCTGCATGTTATCCTGCCCTAATTGCTGCTGATTCATGCATTGGACTGGTTGTGTTTGTTACAGTTAGAACAAAGCACTGTATGAAATTGTATATGAATGGGTGAATGTGGCTTGTAGTAAAATGTGCTTTGAGTCCTGAGTTAGGGTAGAAAAGCTCTATGTAAGCAGGCACAGTTGGTTTGTGATTAGCTAAGGCACAGAGTCTGTGGTACATTACATAACAGAAGGCATTTTCATGTTATTTTCATTAACAAAAAAACAAACATATTTTATGCTTGAGTGAACAAAACTTATAAATATTATAGTCCAGATGATTTTCTTTCAGAAATGTTTTGCATGAAGGTAAAACCCAAAATACATATAACAGTTTCAAACCAAAATTGCTGTTATTGGATCAATCTTTGTTGATTATCTTTGAGATTTAAAGTTGGTGCAATTATTCAAGCTGTAGTTTGTTACAATTCTGGCTTCCAAACAAAACACTATAATCAAGATAAAATTATCACTGTCTTGTTTTTTAACAATTTTCTCACTTTGTCTTTCAGCTCATCCCTTTCTTTCATATTTGCTTTGCTATAAAAGTCCAATTTCACTGCTTTAATATTTTTTAATATACTGAAACCAGTTACCTGGAATAAATCATGTTGAATAATTATGATCTCAGTATTGATCACTTTTGAAAAGCAATTATGCGGTACAGTGACAGTGACGTGTGGTTGGTGTTCTCCAGGTTGTGAATCTGCAGCACAGCGAGGTGCAGGACAGAGTCATGCTGACGGGGAGGCACATGGTGCGTGATGTCAGCTGCAAGAACTGCAACAGCAAACTCGGTTGGATGTACGAATTCGCCACAGAGGAGAGCCAGCGCTACAAGGAGGGCCGCGTCATCCTGGAGAGGGCGCTGGTGAGGGAGAGCGAAGGCTTCGAGCACGTCCCGACCGACAATTCCTGAGTTCATTTATATTCATCTGTGGGTACCAAAGCTTTCCCTCCAGCAGCAGCAGCAGCAGAACATGGACTTGCATTGATGGTGTTCCATTTCTCCCTACAGCTACACCAAAATATCACAGGCTGGGTGTTTGTGGGAACAACTAACAACAAGGTGTTGGATATTTTTCAATTCTGATGGGGATTATTCCTCAAAGGGCAAATAAAGTTGCTTTTCTTCCCATTTAAAAATCATCTTCATGTCCAATATGTGATGAGCAGGTGTAGCTGATGGTGGCTGCTGTCAGACGAAGAGACGTGGCTCCTGCAGCCTTACAGGAGGCTCAGATTTCTGTGTAAAGATAATGCGGTGAATCTTGAAAGCTGAGGCTGTCAATGGGTCTAATTTGCTTTAAGAGTGAGTTGTTAAACATTATACTGCAAAAGAATCATTTTCTACAAAGTGTTCAATGTGATGCTTTGCCCTATGGGCTCAGCTGTGCTAGAGAATTACCTTTAAAAGAGTTATTAGTTGATATAAAATGTTATAATTCAGGTTATTTTCATTCAGACAGGTTAGCAATTTAAGCCTGTCACTTAGTTTATTTTATCTATTAAATGACAAAAACAATATTGTGGGGTCTTTATCTTTCCATACCTCTTATTTGACTCTATAAATATAAATAAACCTAAATTCAGTAAAGTTGATTTGACATGTTCTACAGAGTTAGAAATGCCAATATTTCACTACATCACTACTAATCTATCCAGTTTATTTTCCTTTATTTAACAAAGCATGTTTTTGTTTCAGTATTTCAGACTTGTGATATGTTTATTTGCAAAACAATAAATGATTTCAAATATGCAGTTATTTAATTCTCTTTTTTTATTGTGTGTGCATATCTAGATTTACATAATATGCCCAAATAATCACAATCTGGTTAGTTTTCTCTTCTTTTTTTAATGTGCTGAGTTTATTTGCCTTTTTAAACAATCATTTTATCATTAAATATTGTCATTACCAGTGGCTTAGACCTTGTGTTTATTACAATTTTGGCCAGTGAAAGCAGTTCTCGGTATGCTTTGTGACTGAATACTTTCTCATAAGTCAACGTAGACAAGCTAACCTGATATAAGTGAAATCAATCTGAAAAAAAAGGGGGAAACAATTATGCATACTTACTTGAAATGACTCCTCCTCAAATTTAATGATGTGCATTATAAATTCTTATTTGGCAGATGTTAATGATATTGTATATTTATATCTGCCACACAGTAAAATGAAGTATATTTACTGTCATGACCAAAGTATATTTTCCTAAACTGGTTACCTGTTAACCCCTATGCCACCGCATTTATAAAACAGAAAAATCTTAGATTATTTTTTGCTTTGTAGACTATCAGCTCAGTTTTGACATCGACTAAATCAAAGGAGACACATCGTTTAATATAAACTGGACAAACTGTTGTAAATATTGCATTAGACTGTTCAAATTTAGGTTTGAAAGCAGTCTAAACTGGTCTCATAGCTCAAATAAGGTAACATATTGAACTTTATATAGACATACTTGTTTGGTTGCATATCAGTCGTAATGGAAAACTCAAGGCACCAAAGTAAAATCCTACATACTATTCTCACTATACCACAGCTAACTACTAGGAACCTACAGGAAGTGTCGAGTTACCCTTCATTTCTTAATATTATGTTTCAAAAAAGCAAAATATGTTTCACTATACCGCCAATATTTTGCTTCAAAGAAACACAATGTGTCTTATAATTTTTAAAGTGCTCTTGAGCAATAGTTCTCCAGGCTTTCTGAAAGGCTTTCCAAAGTTTGTAACACTAATCTATTCAAGTAGATGAACCAGTGTTACGTCTGCACATAACAGGAAATAAATATTTTTTAAACTGTATCTTTAGGCACTGCTAGGGGATCTTTACAGAATAAAGAACAAAGGGCAAGGAAGAGCGTTTAATGTACCTCAGGAAGTCTAGAGAACTAATCCCGAAGCTTAGAAAAACTTAGAAAAAAGAAAAAGAAAAATAACGCTTGCTCAATAAAGGGGGTCGCATGATGCTCTTTTATTTATTTATTTATTTATTTATTTATTTATGTTCTTTTTAATAATACTCATTTGTTTCAATCATTTTTACCTTATTGAGCAATTGCATTTATTCTATTGAGCAATATTGTTATGGTTTGTGTTTAACAGTTTGACGTCAATGTGTAGAAAACAAACGCACCATTTGTAAACTCGATTTACGCTGCATTCTGGGTAATACGGAACGAATGACGACACACAGGAGCTGGGAATAAGATAGAAAACGGGTTTCACGTGCTGCGAGAGGCATTCCCCTACTGACTGCATGCTTGCAATACGCGTTGTTTTGATGACATGTAACATAAACGGCATTATTACTTCTCCATTCACTCGGACGGTAGATGAACGAAGCAACTATGGCCAACGGTGAGTTTACTTGTTAACACAAGCTAGCACAACTGGTTAATGTTAGCTGTAAGACCCCGTTAGAGCGACAAAAACATTAGGTAGCAAAACATTAAAATGCAAAACCACCGAACAGTTTACAGATAAACTGTCATAACCGCGTCGTTTCTGCTCTTAAAGTAATTATTAAAGCGGTCGCTAATGTAGCTTTATACCATTTTGTGCCACGAGCGGTAGCTAATATTTTCTCCCCTTTCTCTCCTCAGAAAATGTGAGCGTGATCTTCAAAGTGTACTGTCTCGCGGTGATGACACTGGTGGCAGCGACCTACACAGTGGCACTGCGGTACACCAGGACCATTTCAACAGAGGAGCTGTATTTCTCCACAACTGCAGTGTGCATCGCCGAGGTCATTAAGTTAGTGCTGAGCTTGGGGATGCTCACAAAGTAAGTGTTTGAGGCGCTACCCGCTATTTACTTAGTGACCACAGAATGTAAGGTATGGAATTAAGAAACCCACATGACTGGCCAATGCGGGTTTGGACTCCGCTTTCCCTTCAGAACCGTCTTTATTCTTCACCGCATTGATTCAACAAGTTACTGGAAACATACCTCGGACATTTTAGTCCGTGTTGACATGATAGGATCACGCAGTTGCTGCAGATTTTTCGGCTGCACATCACATTTCAAAGTTGCTCTATTGGATTGAAAGCCGGTGACTGTGGAAGTCGTTTAATTGCAGTGAGTTCATTGTCATGCTCAAGAATTCCGTTTGAGACGATTTGAGCTTTATGACATGCTGTTGGAAGCAACTTTCAGAAGATGTGTACAGTGTGGTCATAACGTAGTGGGCACGGTTGGCAATAACGTTCAGGTAGGCTGTGCTGATGCTAAGGGGTCCAATATCCTCAGTCTAAGCAGGATATATCCAGGCTTTCATGTTGTTTATGCCAAATTCTGGCTCTCTCAGATTCATAACAGGAAACATTTTTCCTTGTGTGTGTGTGTGTGTGTGTGTGTGTGTGCGCGCGCGCGCTTCGAGGTTTAAAATCTTGTGTGTTCAGAGACACCTTTTCCAAACTTTGGCTCTAATGAATAGGTATTTAAGTTAATGTCTCTTTCCTGTAAGCTTGAGGTAGTCTGGCCATTTTTCTCTGACATGTGACTTCAAACAAGGCATTTTCGTTGATTTTTTTTTCTTTTTTGAGGTATTCTCTGTAAATACAAGAGATAATTGTGCATGGAAATCCCTTCAGATGAACCGTTTCTGAAATACTCAGACAAGCCCGTCTGGCACCAACCGCCAGAGTCAAGTAAATCACCATTCCTCACCATTCCTCATTCCTCAGTTTAAAGTTTAAAGTTGAGTAGATTGGCTTAGTTGTGGTTTCCAAATGCACTTGTTGCCAAGCAGTTTGATTACCTAATAAAGTAATCAGCAAGTGTGTGTGTGTGTGTGTGTGTGTGTGTGTGTGTGTGTGTGTGTACATAAAAATGTTTCTCTATAAATCTTTATATTAATAAATTAAGGTTGCCTAGATTGAAATTTCATTTGATAAATAAGCCAATAGATTTTGTCTAGTACTCCCTAAAAGTGGACAATAGCCCAAGAAATCTTTTATCAGAATAAGAGACACAATATAAGCAAGAGAGAGATGATACTTCAAAGAGTCCTTAATTTAAATCTAAGGGCTATAGATCTTAGTTTTAAAAATAAACATTTTTTCAAAACCTTATGTTAGGGCAGAGCTAGCAAACTTTAAATAAACCTTTTAACATCCCAGAGATAATTAAAATTGAAGATATAATAGATGATGCTTAGCTTCATTAAGAATATGTATGTGCTTTTACCTAAAGATAATCTTCTTTGCCACTCATTTTCCGAGTAAATCGATTTATAGTTTGGTGTATAACATTTCCTTTAAACTTGTACCTTTTCAGCTCATTTAAGCCCAGTATTTTGCCTTTAGAATTTTCCATTTCATTTTGTCATTTCATATTCATTTTTGTCAGATTGATGCCAAATAATAAACTAAAGGCTGCCAAGAAAAAGAAGAGCAGGAATTTCTCACAAGTGACAAGTTGTAAAGAGACAGCAAAGAAGACTTTAATAATAGAAAAACATATTTAGACACATTGTAGTTCAATCTGTAACTTTATTTGCAGAGCTCAGGTTCAGCATATCCAGACTTTCTTTGGCTCAACAAAAACCAGTCAAAGAGAAGCAGAGTGGTTATTAATGGTCTTTGCTTCATTTTCTTTTTCTATACCTAACTTTTTCCACACAAAATAGATCAATGTCATTCAGAATTTGTCAGAGAAACACAATATTGAGATTTATTTTTAATAAGGCTATAAAAAATATGGAAATTATATTAGTTTTGTCCAAATGAGAGTGCAAGTAATTTGCACTACAAATAAACTGATCCGTCTTCTATAAGCTGCAATTCCAGCACTGTAACACATGACTGTGTATAAATTCCTGTTGCGTGCTTTTGTTTGTCAGTGCCAATAAAATGCACCTCAGTAACTTATTACGTATAAACTGGATTTCTTCAAGGGAAATTCCAAAGAGTAATTGGAGGTGATTCTGAAAAGAAAATATGTGCCATTTCCAGTCTGAACCTAACTGCAGATTGTCTTTGTCATACGTTGTCGTGCCATTATAGCCACACAAATGGAGACACACCTTCACGACATACTAAGAGACTTGTTAATCTTGTTTCATGAATAAACCCCTCAGACAAAACAAACATATCATGTCATGCAGAACATACAAATAACAATGGTTTGATCATTTACCAAAAATTTCTTCTTCGTCCATTCATCTGTTGTTTTTCACTTTTCCTCTCCCAGGGAAACGGCAAGTCTCATCAAACTAAAAGCCACCTTACAGGAACACATCTTCTGCAGCCCTAAAGAACTGCTAAAACTCAGCGTGCCTTCGGTGGTGTATGCAGTTCAGAATAATATGGCTTTCATCGCCCTGAGTAATCTGGATGTAGCAGTTTATCAGGTATTATGTGAATCTGGGTTTGACGTGTGGCTCTTGTGGAGACAGTCCACGTCATCATTTACACAGGTCTTGTTACACTCATTTAATTATATCAGTAGCAACTAATTCTATAGATAACTGCTTGATAAAGTTTCCTTTTTGTTTTATATTTTTTAAGTACTTGGTATATTTTGGATCCAAGAAGTTTGATATCCTCCTTATGTCAAGTGGGACTTTCCCCTTATAGTCAAAGGGTTTGTTGCACAAGTGTTTGTGGCAAAATGAAGCTCAGTTTATGTGCAGTTTATACCTCAGAAAGCGTTCAGTAAATTGCATTTTTGACACATTTTTGAGAGAGATTTGTAGGCAGTGAATTTAAGATCACTTTGGCTTTTGCTTTTCAGGCTGAAATGCTAATAGTGTACAACATATTTAGGGAAACAAATTCTACATCTATGTGTGAAGTTATAATATTTAGTTCAAAATCCTTTTTAGGTCACCTATCAGCTGAAGATCCCGTGCACAGCCTTGTGTACAGTGCTCATGCTGAACCGCTCTCTCAACCGGCTGCAATGGTTTTCCGTCTTTATGCTCTGTGGAGGCGTTACACTGGTTCAGTGGAAGCCTGTGGAGGCCACTAAAGTTCAGGTGGGGCGGCATGTTACACCATCCTGGTTACTCAGTAAACCACTCTTAATTTCCTGTGATACCACAAGCAGTAAATTAACATTCATTTTAAAAATCTCTTTAATCTACAAGCTGTATCATCTGTTCTGTAGTTCATCATTGATCCTTTTTTCACAGATTGAACAGAATCCTGTTATTGGGTTCATTGCCATTGCAGTTGCTGTCCTTTGCTCTGGTTTTGCAGGTAAGACCAGTGCTGATGATTTGACTTTCAGTATTGGCTTAACTGTCAAGTAAAATCCAGAAATACGTTTGGCAACTAAGAAAACGGCAACAAAACCCACGATCTGCACACATGCCTGATGATATTTTCTCTAAAGTAGATGGATTTTACTTTTACTGCTGCTGTACTTTGAACCTTTGAATCTGACAGTCTGGTATTTACTTTAAGGTGTGTACTTTGAGAAAGTGTTGAAGAGCTCAGAGACATCCCTGTGGGTGAGAAACATTCAGATGTACCTGTCCGGCATAGTGATCACCTTGATCGGTGTTTACATGACTGATGGAGAGAGGGTCATGGAGAAAGGATTCTTCTTTGGTTACACACCTTGGGTGTTCTTTGTAGTATGTAAGTATGACATCTTGAGGAAGAAGTACCTTTCTTTTACTTTCCTTGTACCTTTTGTCTGACTCTGCTCTGCTTGTGCTTTCAGTCTTGGCCAGTGTAGGTGGCCTGTACACATCAGTGGTAGTGAAGTACACTGATAACATCATGAAAGGCTTTTCTGCTGCAGCTGCAATTGTCCTCTCAATGGTGGCATCTGTAATCTTGTTTGGACTACAAATAAGTAAGTTTCTCATAACCACAGTTTGAATCCAGCCAATTCATTAAGTAAGAGTATATTGTGGTTAATGATTTTTGTTCTTTTATTTGAACTGTAAACCTCTCTAGTACTTGATAAAGTAGTGGATCAAATATAGAGTAGATCACTCTTGGAATCAGATATTAAATATATAAACACAAGTTTTTACTAATGGTCAAAATCGTGTTGCTTCGTCCCTCTTTTATCTGTGTAAAACATCCAGTAACACTTTGCAGATCCCACAGTCTCCTGTAACTTTCTAGAAAAGTTTTGAAAAGTAGCTTAAAGCCTCAATTATACTCTATTATTGACATTAACAGCTTAAAACACTGTGCACAGCAGCTTAAATTCACATAATTAAAAATATTGGCAACAGTCAGTGCTACCTTTCAGCCTCCCTGCATGTTTTCTTTCCATTTTGAAACTAACAGAAGGTTTGACTATGTTTTTATATGAAATGATTTGGTATACACCGGGTTTCATTAAAACCATTAATCTTCCTTTTTATTTTTTTTAATAATGGAAATGTCATTTTGCTTTTTTACCCTCCTGTGCAGCTATGACGTTTGCCTCTGGAGCATTCTTTGTCTGCATTTCCATATACCTGTATGGACTTCCAAAGCAAGACACATCCAGATTAACCTGGAAGGATACAAATTTAGAAGACAAACAGAAACTAATTTCTGTGTGAGGTGCTGACTGACATCAGACATTTCTATGCTGGACCAGGATGAAGGAAGCCTTTCCTCATTTGGGGTTAGAGTTGGATCTGCTTTGTGTCGACGTCATCAGATGGAACCGTGAACTGAGTCTCTGAATACTTTGAAGAATCTTAGTGGGTTTTTTGTTTTTATAAAAAGGGGGTGGGGGAGTTTGGGTTTTTTGTAGGTTTTTTTTGGAAACTGCTTATAGCTAGCTACCAGTAAGCTGGCGAATCTATACCCTAACCGGTGAATTCTTGGAATTGGAATCCAATCTTCAGCCACAATAAGTAGCATAAGGAGTTTACTATTATGCTCCCTGTGTGTTTTGTTTTTTTTTAAATTGGGAGTACTATATTGTCTTTATTTTATTTAATAATCCAGTGTTAATAATTGGTCTTTAAACTGTGCAATACGAGTGACTTAACTCCAAATCACTTAGTCCTTACTCTGAATGTGCCCAAATCACAGACTGCATGCATAATCCCCCCCCAATCTTGTTTTCTAATTTTTTTGTTTTTGTTTTAATCACTTCAGTGTTGTCTCGTAATGAAGGTAATTGTACAGTTTTTATTAGCAGAGAAGTGTTTTTCTGAATACAGACTAGACCCAATCCTACAGACTAGCATAATTTTATTTTGACAATATAAGGCTCTGTTTTTAGGATACAAATCAACAATAGTTGCAGCACTGAAAAGAACACTGACACACACCGATGCGGTTTTTACATTTTGTTTACTGGTGTGATGCCCAGGATTCTCATCCCGTTGGCCAGGACTGAGCATGCTCCGCTGAACATTCGTAACCTTGCCTGTGGATATGAGGAGAATGAAGCAGTTTTCAGGTTGCAAAACTGTTGTTAGCAATGCCCTTACATATGTAGTGACAGATGTAACGGTGACTGCAAATACAATCAGTTCTCGCAGGGAAACAAAGAGATCAGTATAGCATATTTTAAAGACTCATGTAGTGATTCACATATTTGACCGGCTACCAAAAGATGGGGATCATTTGGTTATCAGTCAAAAATGTGAATGAGTTGGAATCTAGAGAGAAGACATCAGGAAGGGTATTTAAAAAAAAAAAAAGCCAAAATATGTGAAGCTACTGTGTTGATCCCTTGATAATAAGGTAGCTTTTTACACTTTAACATTTGTCAGGCTTACAATTGCACTGACAAACCTAAGTATCTACCACTGATATTAGTATAGACCATCTATGTTTTCATTATGCTGATATCTGTAAGCAGTGCTCCTACTATTAAACAGAAATTCTATTGGCTGACCAATGTTTTCTACAAGCAAACACAATGTTTGATTAGTCAAAGAAGAGTCCCGTGAGGGGTAAGGCATCTTTAACTTTGTCCAAATTTCAGCTTTGAACCCCACTAATAAGCACTTCTGTTATTCATTTTCATGTAATTTTCTTGGTATAAATCTCTTGGGTATTCTTGCCAGAATGTAGCTATAATTAATTCTCTAGACCTTTTTAAAATCTTGAAAAATTTCCAAAACAGTCAAATCAGACAGTAAATGCCCCTCAACCTGTCACCTCCTCAGTACAAAGCTTGTGGTGCATGTGACTGTGCTAATTTGGCAGTTTCAGACAATGTCCCAGCCAGTTTCTCTTAATATGTTCATGTGTGAGAAGAACAGGTTGTTGCATAAGAACTTATAGAACCATGCATTAAAAGGCTATACAAAAATCAACTCCATTGTGGCTGTTCAATGTAGTATTTTGGCAGGTTTAAGAGGAGAAACAGAAGTTTGCTTAACTCTGTTTTCTTTGTACCTGTGCAACAGCCTCAGGGCTTCCTTTTACCGGCAGCTCTCTGTGCGCTGAAGCAATCAGGTGGCTGGAAGACACGAAAGAGAGTAAGGACACACCTCTGTACATATTTACTACTAATGTTAACTTATGACTGTAAGGGCTTGCCAAGTAGCACGACTGGCATCCTGTCCCTTACCACAGCTTCAGCAAGAAGTTGACAAGGTGCTTAGGTTGCAGATCCTGAGCTGACTGGTACAATACCTCGTCATAACTGCAAATAAAGAAGGGACAGTTTTGTAAACGTAGAACAAATATTGACATTGACAAATGAACAGATGCTCAGAAAGTGCTTGCCGAAGGAGGTGCTGTAGGATGGCAGTACACGTCTGCTCAGATAGAAGAGATGGGTCGAAGGCAACTGCCTCTACACCTTTGTTTGTCTGCTTTAAACTGTAATAACAGGATTATATGTGAATCACATGACAGATATCCTGTTGACCTTTTGGAATTAAGGATGTCAGACATGCATCTAAAGTGTGAAGTCTTTCAAATGTTTCTCTGTTATTTCTCATTTTCCAAAATAAATGACTGAATAGATTAATGGATAGAGGATCCAAAATGAAAACGTATCAATACTAGAAATCTCAGACCTGCAGAGTCGAGCATGTGTGTACTGAAGGAAGACACCAGTGTCGCCCTGAGCCTGCAGCATCCGGTCCCAGTTAAACTTATAGTCTGACTGCAGGGGGCCTTTGAAGTCCTAAAACACAGAGTTTTCAGGCACGTTAACGCCTACTTGCAAAGTGCACAGAGAGGAGGAAAGGTGTGAGAAAGGTAATGCATCAACAGGACTTTACTGCTTAACTGATGGGTTTTGGCTCGTGATAGGCCCGATGAAGGCCAGAAACTAAGAAAAAAATAAATGTTGCTTTAATGCTAAAACTCCTGAAAGGAGGAGTCACCGCATCATCACTAAGACCGAGAAATGAAGCAGCCAGTGGTGGAATATTATACTTGACAGTGTAATAATCTTGTTTATTTTCTTTTGTACTATTGAAACAAAGTCTTAATTATTTAACAAATATGTGATTTACATTAGTCTTTTAGATCTTTATGACCACTAATTTTGAACATTTAGCAAACTTAGAATATCAGTTAATGGCCAATATGTTATTATCGGTCTGACTTAAAGACCTGAAACTCCCAATCATAACATTAATCACACACACAGATCAATGAATGAAGCTGCTGGTTGCTGAATACTAGCAGCATTTTTAAATAAAAATACTAAACCTGGATTATTAGGGCGCTGATTCCTACTTTCTCTGCAGTGTCCTCTGGGTTTTCCAATTCCTTTGTTGCTGTGGAAAGATTTAAATTTAGTCAGTGACACAACAAAACAGCCCTTGTTCTGACATGTGCCAATCCCACAGTAATCATGGAATAAGTAAGTGTTGAGTCAACGATAAGAATGTGTCTCAGTTCAATAATATGTCACAATACATACCAGTCTTTGTACTTTTTTAAGGAGGCATTTTTCTAAAGGCCTTAACCATCTACAAGTAGTTTCAGCTCTTATCAACTCTGACCACCCCTTTTTTGGCATGTGTAGTTCATTGTGGGAGAAAAATGTGCTTAGCTGCTTT